GAAGTCACTGTTAAAGAGCCCAAGCTCCTACTGAAAACAAAGCTCTACAGCTCAATGAAACAAAAAAAGCAACCTTTAAAAATACTGGTCTTCAAGGCTTCTATTTCAGAAATACGAACCATCTGCAGAAGGCAGACCATAGTAGCATGTCTCTTCTAGGCCCTTAGCACTCTGCTGAAATGGTGCCTGGTGAGGGAATTACTATAGGCAAGGTAAACCAAAACAAAAACACCTTCCCAAAATGCAAGAATGCCCACCAGCGGTCATCAGAAGGCTCTCGAGCAGCTACAAGCAATAAACACTCCACAATTAAACGTTTTCATGCTGTTGATTTCGGATCTTGAGCTGTTTTACACTGTAAGGTGCAGATCCATGATAAAAGCCCTTACACTTGCTACACTATAGCAACTCTACAGGTACAAAATTTACGAGAAAGCCAAATATTTAACTTTGTGTCGATTAAGGCCTATTTCCCATTTGGATGCAGTGAGACACCCCAGAAGTCGCCCCAACGTGACACAGAGCTTTGTGTCTTCCCCTCCATTGCCCCCTCAGCCATGTCCCATTACCCTGTACAGGAAAAACCAGTCACTACTTCCCAAGGGAAAACAGCATCAAAAGGAAAACTTGTCAGCTGATGAAGTTAAGCTACACTGGTCACGTAAGACATAATACCACATGAAATATAAATGCACAAGAGTGACAAACTAATCAAGCACCCCAATTCAGCTGTTGCTATTAGCATCATGGAAAGCCTTAGGCCTGAGAACACATTAAAGAATGATCACATACACACACACACCTTGTATGTGTCAAAGTTTATTTTTTTCCAAAACTTGTTTCATCAAATAATTGGATATGAGCAGTTTTTAAAAAACAAACAGTTTGTGTATTAACAAATCATGAAGTTCCACAATTAAAATATCACCACAGCCAGTCTTGTGCTTAGGCATCTTTTTTAAAAAATTATTAATTCATAGAACATAAACCTTCAAAAATTTTTTTCCAGTTTGTGGCTAGTGTATTTTCCACACATTCTGTATTCTTATAAAATGAAGGAACTTACGTAAAGGAACAAGCTGTACAAGAATACATCTGAAAAAAAGCCTGAACAACGTAAATTATAGTAGCTCCTTTTAAATAAATATCCAATAAAAGGCACAAACCTGTTATGGGGAAAAAACATAACATACAAAACAAGACCTATTAAATAAATAATGTAAAGTGTGGGTTGGGGTGAGGGACATCTGTTCCAGCACCTATTTTGTCATTGCTCCAAGATGAAATTCCAGCCAAAGGTTTGGTAAAGGATTAAACTTAATCACAAGGATACACATTTGAGAGATACTGAAAGATTTGATGTTACAATTCCTGTTGTAACTGTACCAGTTACTACAATCTCTTTAAATAAATGATCATGAGAATCTGCATAAAGCAGTGATGCAGCGATGTACAGATATATATATATCAATGCAAGTCAGATACATCTTCAGAGTAATAGCAACAGGTTTTCTATATTCCTAGCTATCAGTAATGTATAAATGATAACATGTACAGTTTCCATTGCTCAAAAATATAATCTTTTAAATGGAAATGACTGATACACAGTGCCTTTAGATGTTGTCCTTACAATACAAACTACCCAAAACAAAGTTTTCCTTTTTATGTACAAATTAAGCACCGATCCACAGTGCATACTATTCTAATCATAACCCCACCCTCCCTGCCACACATCAAAAAACCCAGATGGGGATACACCCTGTACTCAATCTTTTAGTCACAAGTTTTTTTGTTGTTGGGGGTTTTTTGTGGGTTTTTTTTTTTTTTTAAAAACAAAAGTCCATTTTATTTTTACCTACAAGTATTCCAACACTACGTGCACGGAACTGAGATTTCTCTAGCACGTGTCCAAAATTAAAAAAAAATATATAAATTCAGTAACTTCTTGGAGGAAAAGTCAAACTATATCTAGAGAACATTAGAAAACCCCGGTCATTTAAAAAGAGATACACTTTCAAGTCCAACAGGCCTAACACAATCAACCTTTCCAAATTCCCCCAAATTATGGTATATCCCATGAAAGACAGCCTCCCCGCAGCAGCATGAAGTCCCAACAGTTAGGCTTGAATGACCCACTGAAGTACAGCAATGCAAAGCGCACAGCATACTTCAAGTCTTCCTCCTTGTTCAGACAAACATGGAATGACATCTTAGTTATCTGCTTTCTGAAGTATTCAGAACAGGATTCTGATCAAACAAGTCAGAAGGAAACAAAAGGGAAAGTCACATTTATATACAACTCTTCAGTGTTTTACTCATCACAACTACTATTCGCAACTCTTGCGGGCTACTACAGTTACCCTCAAGAACCACCTTTGTCTTCAAAGTGGTTTTTTTTAGAGAACGAGTTCTGAGCCATAAAAGCCTTGACAGCATCCTAAATCCTTGTTTTTTTTACTTCTAATGTATGAACTATGTTATTTAAAACATGGTACTCTGCCATTTTATGCGTTCCAATATGCGCACAAGAAGAGGTTGGCAAAAAGCAGCCCTGTGCACTTCTGTGCAGAGAGAAGTGTGTAAAGCATTCTTTCCTTCATCAGCGTAAATCTAGAAACCTTGTTTTAACATATCAAACATTCTGAATGAGACTGAAAAGAAGGTAGTTTATAAAGTTTTTAGGATGTACTTTGTGGCTGTTTTTCCTTTTTTAATACTAAATAAATTGTTATCAGACAGCTTTCCTACAAGAAAGCATACCAAAGAACCATTAAAAAATCCAGGGCAAATCAGAAGTAGTGCAAACTATACCTAGTACTAAATCCATTTCTGAGCAAAGTACATTCCAGATACTAAGAATGCTCTGAAATAAAGTTGTAACAAATATATACTGTTTGCCAGGCATGTATTTGCATATTTTATTAAAATAACACATTATTACTGTCACAACTCAGTGTGAGAAAGAGACCTAAGAGCTTACAGTGCTAGAAACTACCTGATTGTAGCGCGCTCAGCTCTGTCATTAATGCCCAGGCATTTATTACTACATGTACTGGTCTAATTTGAACTCAAGACTTCTCAATCCTGAATAAATCAGTGGAATTCACTATTTCTTAAATAAACAGTCCCCTCAACACAATGACCCATTCTAAATGGCATCTATTCCCTCATCATGTGGAGGGTAACGATAGGCACTGAAGAACTCATTGGCTTAAAATTGTACAATTGTTCAACCCAGTAAAGGTGGATTAAAGCTTGAAGCCCTTTGCAATTCAAATTTCAACATTAAATTACTATATACCAGTCCAAATCCTTTAAAAAATAATAATAATAATAAAAAAAAAATTCAATACCCATTCAGAAACTCCGAGTTTTAAATTTCTGCAAGGTTACATTTCCCAGGAAGCTAGTGGTTATAGATTCCAAGCGTTGGAGGATGGTTTTTAATTTTGCTTCTTTTGAGTTGTTTCAGTTGGCAAAAATATTTCTATAGGGTTAAGAAATACTACTTTTGCAGTCTTTGGACAGAATTAAGCATTTAGAAAAAGGGAAGGCTTGTTCCCGCTATGAGGAAAGTGCTGTATTTTAGAAGTTCTCTACAGGACAGTTTGACAAGATTCTCAGGCCTATTTGTTTTTACAGTAAAAGAGTCAGATATATTTCTCCAATTACAGACTCCCCGAAAGATAAAAGACATGCTACTCTGGAGTTCTATTTATTGTAACAATAGAAAACTATTCATGTTTTTTGAAAACTCAGCTTTAATCATCAGTAGAAGTCATTTTACAGGAGATTTTTTCATTGTATTATGCCACAAAACTTCTGGAAGAAAGGTTGCTCCCAATTCCATGTACTTGTTACTAACTTTTTTTTTTTTTAATGCTATCACTTTTTATCAGACATTGAAAAATACAAGATAAGGCATTTTCACAGCCGATTTCAGTTTTGGAGGAAGATTGTTAAATACAAAAGACGTGCCAGAAGTCTATACACATCTGACCCATCATGAATAGCATACTTCATAAATTAGTTGATTTAAAAGATTTTCATCTCAAAAAGAGTCCGGATTTCTTAACATAGCATTTTTACCTTGAAATTACTACAGAAGGAAAAAAGATTACTGCAGCATTAAAGAAAAGATTATCTCAAAGTTTGCACATATTTACACATTTAAAAATAATTACTTTTATATGGTTTACAACTAGGTTCTTATTTCAGAAAAGCAGCACAAGCTATTCTCTACAGCTGGATAATTTCAATATAGTTGCCAGTTCACGAGTGTCAGCACTATTGCAAGGTTTGCTTCTTTTCACCTAATGGACTTTAAAAAAAAAATTGGATCTCTTGCCTCTTTTGCAGTTAGCAACAAGATTTTCAAATCGCTCCTATTTGCTGCTATTGGAGATACCTACATTCACTGGCTCCCAAAGCTACTCTTCCTGGAGCTATGAAAGGTGCTACCTGCAGAGAAGATATTCACTGGAAGTGCAGCTAGTATCACCTGTGACTATTACCTGCACATGCTGTTCTGTAACACTTGTTTCCCCTACTCCATCACAGACTTTCAGCCCCTATCAGAGCCTGGCTCTTTCAACTAGCCGTCTAACACTGACATACCAATGGAGCAATTTATTTTTTTTATATATATATATGTAATATGTATATATCTTGTTGATTCACAGCATTTCAAACTCACATTATAAAGTCTGCAAATTACTATAAGCTATTTTAATGTGAAAAGCTGTCTGATTTCACACAATATTGGCCTTATGATAATGCAAGCATTGCTCTATCAGAGTATTTATTAGAGCACATAAAAATTTTATTGCTCAACTTCATTTGTGTTGTGTCTTGGTTACAACAGCCACAATTTATGGAGAAAATAAATAGCTTTGTCATCCTTCCTAAGGTAATCCACTGATGACTAAGGTTGTAGAGCAATCATGTAACCCCTCTTCTCAGCTTTAAAGGTGATAATCCAGCTTGCACCTTCTGAGTCAACCTCAATAAAATACAGTTTTCTGCTGAGCAGTTAAAAAAAAATAATCAGTGAACAAACATGACTTCACACTGCAGTGACTGTTATAAACAAGAATCTCTGAAGCATTGCAATTCAAAATACTATTGTATTATACAGGGAAGAAACAGTTGCCCTGTTCAGGAATATGTCATGGAAAGATTGAAATTCAGTCTTTTCTTTTTTTACCAGTATTTGGTTGTTCTCACATCTTGCTGCTTTGGCGGTTCTACATAAACTGTATCTGTGAAGTAGAGATTACATATTAATGCCACTTACATAATGCCCTTGTTACTTGCAAGTTAAGACTATAGGTTTTGGCACTTGAAAAAAATCCCCAAAGAACATTAAGACCAACGTATTTGGACGACAGGAGTACACAGTTTCTTCAACTTGAATGATCTCTTATCTGTGCATTTTTCACTTCCCCACTACCTGACCCTTCAGAAAGCTTTCACCACTGCACTAAGCCAGGGATCCAGCTAATGTGTAGAATTTAGACTTCCTATGACATCTTCACCACTCCCATTTTCTTAATATTGACACATATTAAGAAGTTAGTGAGTAAATCTCTGATTTTTACTTTCTTCCTTGCTTCCTACATTTGCATGGTCTCACCATCTGAATTTGCTTCCTTGCCAACGAAAGCCATTGCCCTTGTCTGAGTAACCCCTCACTTGCAAATGCAGAAATACATTAGTAGCACTTCATGAAACACTTGGTTGCTTTTACCAAGACTGAAGTTTCAATGTGATCTCAAGATTAAGGAAAACAGTTCACCTGAGTTTCAGAAACAGGTGCAAAAGGATTTGTTGGCCTTAGACCAGGCTGTGTATACATCATTGACTGGGGTGCCATCAAAGGAGCAGCTCCAATCTGAGGAGGTACCTGTTAGAAAAACAAAAACCCCACAAAACATGTATATAAAATTCAAACTAATTATGGAACATGCATCTTTGCAAATTCTATAGTAGAAAATAAGCATATAGACACATGCAGACATAGTAAAGTCAAAGCTTTAAGTTTTATACAGCAAGTTTTTTTAAGAGTAAGCTCTTCCAATGCACAGTGTGAAAAAGCTATCAGATTTCACACGCTACTGATCTGATGAAACATTACATATACTTTGCAGGATGCTTTGAGCATAATGATGCCTGCCATGAAACTCACTGGAGGACACAACTAGGTTTTTCAGGAATACAAGACAATCACATTTCTTACCATTCCATATACAGGCACTTGAGGTGTGGTCAATGGGTATGTGATAGGAGCAGGTACCTTCAATAAAGAAAATTTTAATGTATTTTAGATAAGCTCATGTACACTACTAATATACATATAAAACTGTGAAAATACATACTTTTCAATACTTAAAATAACCAACATATTTACAAGAAATTGACTTACATATCCAGGATAGTGTACTCCATTCTGGCACAGCAAAAGGAGTAAGGACAGAAAATTATTTAAGAGGTATTAGAACTGGAAATTCTAACCAAGGGATGGATTCAAGTCCACTACCATAACTGTAACTATGCTCAATTTGCTTATTAAAACAATTAAAGAGGGAGGAAAAAAGTGCAAGGACAGTAAGATCAGTAGCTATGCCTGTTAACTTGGTTAGGCTCCCTGCCTGGAAAGCTATCACTAGAGTAAGACTTACAGCAAAAATAGATGTTTTACTAAAATCTAGCCATTTGTGTAAGAAGCTTTTAGAGGGCATGTGATGCAATATTCCTTTTTCCTCCCATTATGTGTGAGAAGGGCATAGAAAAAAATGAGGAAGCCAGTGACCATTCAGCTTAAGAAACAAATAGCAATAGAGGCTTAGTCTGGTAAGTGTTGCTCACATACTAATTTCTGATGTCTGCAACATACCACGATACAAAAAAAGAAAAATGAAGAACATCTTAAGCCAGCAAAATAAGTTATACCAGGCTATGTTCACAGGCACAGTGACACATGCACTTCATATTGCCGTCCATTGTTAAGTAGTGCTAATTATATTAAAAATGGAGCGCTAGTTAAAATACTTCACTGTGAAAGACTATGCAGACTATACGTGAATTGGAAGGTTAGTACTCTTAACTGTCCCAGTCAGGTCTGTTGCATTCAGACCTTTGTGATACTGGGAGACTGATTTTAAAGATGCTTATAGCTGAGCTAGTTCTTTGCATCATTAATTGTTGGAATTCCAAGCAAATGAGTGATCAGATACCTGGCATAAAGCACTCAAATGCTTAGACCAGAAAGTATTAAACACAAACACATAAAATAAAAACACACAACCAAAATCCAGTGATCAATGTGTGCTAAGGTGCCCTCTACCTTTCAAAAATAAGAATGCATCAGCACATGTTCTAGAGCACAGAGGGGATAAAAAGATTTTACAGTCTCAGAAGTCTCTCATAAAAATGCTATACAGCTGAGCAATCCTCTCATCTGAATTTGTGAGTTTCATTTTTTAGTCAAATACTGGATTGAATATTCTATTCAACTTTGATAATTTTGAATAAACATACTCACATAAGATGAGGAAAATAGGCATTACAGGTAAAGCTATTCTTATTGGAAAATAAAGTCAGACAGCAGCCCAAAATTCATAGCAAATGTGGCAATTACCCTATTTGTACATATAACTGAGATGAACATTCTACTTCCCTCTAAGGCAGCTATATTTCAGAAGTGGTTTGTATTTGTATGAATATATATGAATAGAAGATACTTGAAAAATCCCCTTTAAAGGCATAGGAAAAGTCAGATTCCTAAAAATATCCCTCCAAGAAATGAAAATTCTTCATTTAAGTAAAAAAACCTTCCACTTAGTATTTTGCACTGTATTAAAAATATGAAGTTCCAGTTGAGCATTACCAACAGTCCGAAGGGCTGCTTGACCTGATAATTACGGTGCCTTGCAGGGGTTGCAGCGTTTCATGTAGTAAAACTGAAAAAGGAGCGAAGACTGGACGGAACAGCATTTTTGCCCTTGAAACACATTCTTACGATTCTTAAAGATGCAGGGGGGAGAGGGTAGTAGCATCTCAAACATGCACATCGAATTTTCTGGTTTGGGGTTATTTGTTTCAATTCAAAAAGAACTTATGAACTGAGATAAATAATCAGCCTTTCACTTGAGATGTTAGTCTTTAATGGACAAGTTTTAGAGTGAGGGGAAATAAAGCATACTAAAATCTCTACCTCATTTAGTTTGAAAAATGATCCCACAAACATTCCCCCCTGCACCAAGTCTTGTCCCAAACAGCCTTTGCTATTCTTTTTAAACTAATTCAAGCAGGGAAGTAGCATTTGCTAGAATGAAGCGTGATTTCAATAGTACAGGAATTACCATGTGTGGAATAGTGGGTAAGGGAGTAGGGTTCCATGTGGTCGATGTGCTTGTTTTTGCTTGCCAGTTTGTTCCACCAGTAAGTTTTTTCTCTGTAGGCTGTGTCCACTGCATATCTGATCTGAAATGAAACTGTGGTATTAGTTTTCAGAGAGTCTGGGGGTTCTGTTTTGTGTTAAATGTAAACTATCATTACTGCACTGTACAGCATAATGATTAATTGGAGTTTTATGCAACTGCAAGATCTTTTATAGTGTTTCATAAAAATACTTAAATAAAAATATGACAATTGCAAAACTAATTAAAGTGAATTGCTTCAAAAGTTAAGGTTGACCATGTTATGGTGACTGACCACAAACTCACCGTTTCAGTGCTGTTCTTGGTACCAGATTACTCTAAAGAGTTGAGACTCTTTCCATGTTAGTGCTGGTAAACTGTGCTAGAGACTACCAAATAGTCATGTGAGAATATTATCAGTACATATATGCACTTACTTTTTGGATGGAGTTCCTCCAAAGCCAAGGTCTGGGGGGGAAAAAGGAACAGACAAAATAGCCCTAAGTATTTTGGAGGGGGGTGGGGGGGGAAGGTAGGGGAAGCTTGTTTTCAGTAACAAATGGTAAAGTTAAATTTAAAAGCTTCACACTTACTTCCCACTAGATTAGCAAGTGAAGAATCAAGATCATTTGCCAAAATTTTTCCGCTTTGCTGGTTGGCTAAAGCGGCTCTTTGACTTTGTGGTGGCACTGTAGGTTGCAATACCTCATCTAGAAAGTTAAAAACTAAACAAAGAACATAAACAAAACCGTTACAATGCATTTAATAAAAGACATCCATAAGCCAGAGACGTATTTTCTTTATAGAACGCATAGTTTGAGTATTTATATGTGGAGGTTCAACGTGCTGGAAGTGTTTAAGGCTTAGGTAGAAGCACAGTTTAACCTTTTATTTTTTTATGGATTACTATATTGTAGCTACTAATCTAGTAGAATCTTCAATTTTACTTCAGCAGTAACTGATGGTATTTTTAAATTAGGATGAACCTCCCCTAAAACTGAAGAAAGAGCTTGTTAAAGACAGTTTCAAAGCGTTCTTGTAACACAATATACCAGTAATTTCATGATACAGTTAGTATTCTGAATGTACACAAGAATTCCTTTGTGACATGTTCCTAAGGACTTTAAATATATAGCAAAATAGCACCAATCAAGAGAAAGATAGTAACTCAGCTATTCTCCAAGCAACACATAAAAATATAAAACTAGTTGTGTGTATAAGTGTAACACCTCTCAATTAAGTTAGAGGAAGTCATTATCATGTATCAAGAAAGAACACTGAAGTCATAAGCACTGAAAACAGATTAACATAAGCTTACCAGTTAAGAGATATCCAGCGGGCCATGTTCACAGAGTTCATTCCCCCAAAAAGAGAAGAAACCATTATTACACAGTATATGAGATTACTCAAAGCTATTCTTTTAAAGTAAATAACTACAATTGAACTGATTGCCTGTTATCTTATAAGCTCTATAATAAGCTTGCAAGTATTAAGTTATTAAATTTTGAACTGCAAGAGCAATTATGATAAATTGTTAAGCAACTGTTGCCTGTAGGGTATAAATTAGTCATAAGCTAGTTCTTACCACTTGTACTCTTGTACTCTGGTGCTGTAGATTTTCCTCCAAAAACAGCATCAAAGTCCACATTAATTGTTGAAGAAGTGGTACTCGGAGGAGCTGAATGAAGAGGAAAACCTGAAAAAAAGTTTAGAGTATTCAAATACATCCATGCCATAATACCACTTACTATAGTGAAACCAAAAAGTTTAAAAAAAAAAAAAAATCAAATTACCATCAACAGTCAGAGGATGATACACAGAAGGATATGTAGATTTATGACTACTAAAGTCATCTTCGTAAAAAGAGAAAAGAACATAAGATCAGATTAAAAGAGAAAAAGCAAGAAGGGATGCAAAAATTAAGTCTGCAGTTAAAAATTAAGAATTTTCAGTAGTAAAAAAGGATTTTTTTTAACAAATTTGAAAAGCTCAACTCCTGCATTCCCCACTACAAAAGAGAAAGGAGGTTGCAGTTTGAAAGAAATCAGCAAAAATTCCAGCAACATTGCAAGTCTTAAGATGTCTAGGTTGGGCAAGCTGAACAAAATAATGAGTTATTTTAAGCTTAGAGATAAAACTTTAGGGAAACATATAATTTACTACATCTGGAATTAATGTACCATTTTCACTTGTTAATAAAAAGTGAAGGTCGGTCCAAACCACAAAAAGATTACATGGCTCGATTTATTAGCATTATTAGCTCCAGTTGCAAAGAAATTACATGGGTTTTGTTTGTTTGCTTTTTTACCACTAAACAGTTCCACCGTTTGTTTGGAGGAAAAAGTAGAATTGATGAAAGGGGTGGTAGATTTTACAGCTTCTTCAACTGGCTTCATATCAAAGATGTCCAGATGAGGTGGAGAACCAACACAACCATTTGAGGACGAGAAAGGACCTTTCAGATGCAGAGTGAAGGAAAGAATACAGAGTACAAATAATGGAAAAGAAAAACAGACTGAAATGACTGCATATGAGAATCTCTAGACAAAGTCAAACTGTAAATATTCCACCTAGTGATCAGCCCATTAAAGATACAAATTCTTAGTTTTAGATAAAAATCCTGACAGCTCTCCTTATTTAGGGAAAATAATTCTAGTATTGCCATTGGGTGGGAGGGGGGAGAATGACAGAACATTTATCAATCAAAAAAGTTAGATACTACTTTTTTGGCTTCAAGAATCTACTTTTTAAATAGCACCTAAGGGTATAAATTCCCCTATTAAAATACCACACTTACAATGGTGTTAACATTGTTTTAATTCACCATTTAAGACATTTCTTTGACATCTATCCTGATTATTCTTTGGAGGGATGGCTGAAGGTACAGAGAATGCTGTGCCCGAGAAACTGGGAATGACAACTTTGTTATAAGAACTTTGAAGTCACTACCCACATTTTAAATGAAAAGTATATTAAATATCACTTAATGGAATGGAAATACTAGTCCAGCATATTTGCAGTTACATCTGCTTAGCTTATATTTCCCAGCATTTTTAAACTTTTATTTTTAGTTACATTTCCCGTCCCCTTCATTGAATAGCTCCTTCATTCCATCTACTGCACATTGACACTACTGCCATGTGTTAAAAAAAAAAAAAGTAACATTTCAATAACAGTTTGCCAGACCTTTTAGATAACTTCTTTTATATTCTTTCAAGGATAGACACGTTTGGATGCAAAGTAATTAAGGTTTAAAATGTAGATTCAATGAAATATGAATCTGTGTTTTATTTTTGTATTCTAAGAATTCACCCATCATTTAGACAATCAAATCATCGCATCAGCTCACCTCCCCAAGCGCTGCTTGCTGACGTTGATATAGCTGGAGTACTCTGCACAGTTGGAACAAACGCAGGCTGAAGATCGAAAAGATCACTAGAAAGGTTGGGCATGCTGAATAAGGAGAGAGAGAGAAACTGTGATAAACATGATACGTAACAGGCATTGTATTCTTGTGTTACATGAACATTCATACCAATCTCCCTTTCTCTTTTTCACTAGTAGCCCATCTATAATAGTGGTACGAAATAAAACTAGTAATTAAGCACTTCCTATTGACCGATACCGAAATTCCTGTGAATACACCAGGAAAGCGTCCACCAAAGGTTATTCTTGAAAAGTACTTGAGAAGTAACCAGGATCAGTGCTTTGCAGTTGATTGTGGAGCCAATGCAGTAATTTCTGCTTGGTTCAGAAAAAGTAGGTCTCTCTCACCTATTTGTTGTGGGTGCTGGTACTGCAAAGAGGTCAACAGCTACAGTGGTATTCACACTTCTTCCTGATAAGGTGCTTGGGGATGCTGATGTGGAAGTGGAATTTGATACTACAGAAATCTCTCTTAATCGCTGCTCCTGAAAGATGAGATATACAGTTCGCATTTAAGTTTTATTACTTTATTAACCCTTCAGTCCTGAAGGCTTTTTCCAAGAAGAAGTTTTATTTATTAAGACCATAATTAAAACACTTATTCTTTTGTAAAGTCCTGAAAACAGAAAGATGATTGAAATTAGAGCTGAGTATTTTTTTTTTTAATAAAGCCTTTAAAAAATCAAGGTGAGACTTGAGGTTTTAAGTAATTATTTTTTTTAAATTATAACTGCTTAAAAGTAAAACACTTCTAGTCAAGCTACATGTTCTAGGCTCCCTTCACAGTCACTCAGAGAAACAAGCCAATGGACTTTTGTTCAGGAAGACACATCTCTACTGTTAGGATCCCTTCATAGTTCAATTCAGACATTCAGAAGTCAAACTGACAATGTGCATCCTATGAACATCCATGTGGTGCTGCTCTTAAACTAGTAAAAGAAAAATCTAGTTTACATTGTTAATTTTAGGTTTACATCCCTCATTACTTCTAGATATACCTATTGCATTTATACAGCACAGGTGTATGTTTTACACTGCTTACGTTCCTCAAGGAAAACACTGCGTGAGCTTGCAAGCTTCCCCACCCCCTAAGTGAAAATTTGTATCAACCAATTTAATTATTCAGTTACAACAGCTACAAGTCCTATTATAGTAGAATTGGGACAGTGAAGAGGGGAGACATCTGATGCAACTCCTGAAAACACATACCAAAAATCCAACCCAACAACAACAACAACAAAAAACAACAAACAACAAAAAACAAACAACATCACAACACATGCTGAGATTCAAGTGAAGCAGCAGGCAGCAAGGCACACTAAGACTGTAGTCTAATAGCAAAAAAACCTGCTTCACATTGATTTGAAAAATATGCCTTACACCAAGTCAGGAAAGTGGAAAATCTCCAACAGACTTCTGTAACTCCAGAGCTAAAAATCAACTCTGCATTACCATCAAAGTTTACTTTCACACTCCAGATAGCGTTAAGGCTCTCATAAGGTGTCCTCCAGATGACATGAGCAGAGTTGCTTCATTGTTTAGCTGTGTCTAGAGATGTTAAAGCAACACAAGAAAAATTCCCAACTGCACCACTTTTGTGTGCCTGAGACATGACAGAACTACAGATTTAGCTTTCAGCAAGAGAAGCATCTTGCCTTGTTTGAGATTTTATACTGTGTACGTTCTCAGGAAACAAAGTATTATAAGCAGGTTAAAAGGACCTGAAGGACCAGGATTCAGGCCTTAAGAAAGGGATGTTATTAAGAGGACTACTCAGCAAGTACCAATGAGCAAAGGAAAGCACATTAAGGATCCAAGAGAGAATACACAGATTTTCAAATGTGTAACTCAAAGTCCATAAGTTATACCTAAATACATATGTTTTCAAACAGTTGTTAAAACTAAATCATAGAATTATAAATAAGAACAGTTAAACGTGAGCAGAACTATAGCATATATTCTCATTATGAGCAACATCACTGAAGAATCACACTTAAACCATATTTTTCCCCATGATGTATGGAATAACTCCCTTGGACCGATAACCAGTCTTATAATAGCACTGCTGTCTGTTCAGCTGCTGAGATACGACCTAGAATTCTTGTATACTCATTTTGTGAATCTTTGAGATAAATAACAATCTCTTTTAAGGAAAAATATAAGTCATTTTTATCAGCTTTCTGCTGTTCAAATCATACTCCTGGTAGAAGGGTCACCACATATTGACAGCCATCATACCTGCATCCTACGGAATCATGCCTTAGCTTCTCTTAAGACAAGAGCTCCCTCACCACACACCATTTTAAGCCAATCTTGATTTTTAAAAAAAAAAGTCTCAGAATACAAACTTGTAAAAAAAAAAAAAGTACCTTAAGTGCCTGCAGTCTAGCTTGTTCCTCTTCCAATGCCTGCTGCTTTTCTTTCTCATCCATCCTGCTAAATGACATTCCTGTATTGGCAAGTGTGGAAACAGCACTGGATAGGGCACTAGCTCTAAAAACAGTAACAATTAAAAAAAGTTTTATTAAGAAAAAAATCAGGTATACATCACTTATAGTTTAATCACCAAGTGCCTTATCTACTTGCGTGTCATTCCCCCTCCACTCCAGTCTCTTCTTCACTTGCTCTCTGACACAGAAAAGCTGACACCCCAATAATGAGGAAGTTTGGTGAAAAAGCGGCATGGGTACACAGGAGTACTGCCTCAAGTTTCAGTGGGTAGGAACTGGAAAGTCCAGAACACCAGTTGTCTTTTTTCTTTAGGGTCACACAGACTAGACTGGAATTCTAGTCTATTCAAGTGCTGGAGGCACAGAAAGCTTGCTTCTATTTATTATAGATATAACAGTAAACAAAGCACAGAAGTTATTCCCTATATAGTATCCTTCTTAGCACAATACTGTGGTAGTAAATCTTCAGACACTTGCAGAAAAAAAATAAATCTGAAGAGCAAGACTCACAACTCAGGAACGTCGCTTACACTGATACATTTATCAATACATACGAAGTGTCTGGGGGAGAATGCCTATGCCAAAAGATCTCTCTCACCTTTCAGTCCGAAGTACTGTTCATACATATCGATACCATACTTGACAAAAAGAGTAACACAATTTCTGTCAGCACAAAGCATCTAAGTCAATTTGGCTGTTCTGATAAGGTACTAGAGAACTTTTATAAGCAGGTTAAGATAAATTCATGGTGTGTCAGGTAGATAAAGATAAATACTGTCCTATCTGGGTAAAAAGAGTCTCAAAACCCAAATACCTTAGAAGTCTTATAAGCCAAAGGACAAGTAAAAGCTAAAAAGAATAATATACAACGTCTCAGCTCAGTGGTTTATTACAGCATAGTAAGTCTGTCAGAGACATAGGCAGATATACCTAGATTTCAAATGTGACTAAGCTATCAGACTACTCACTAGAGGCTTCATTTATACTTCTAGGTAAATATATTTGGAACACCAAATGACTGAATCCTCAAAATTCCTAGTATGAAGATGACAAATCCTAAGTATAGGCATTGTTGCAATTCACTGGGTGCTCACCTGCTGGCAGCAGAGACTTCTTTTGTTTTCTTTCCCTCCACAGAAGCCAAATGCTGTTCCAGTGCTTCAAGCAAGCTGCTGGGTGCCTAAAGTTAAAGTATATATAAAACACTGCTTCTAGACAACATATCATTGTTTAATACACAGATTAGTTTCCTCATCCACTAAAGACAAACAAAAATTCACACATCAATAACTGTGCCTTTGGGTTTTGCTACCATCCTGCACACCTATCTAGCCAGTTGTGGTTCTTTAAAAGGAGTGGTGCCACAGAGACATGAAGTAAGGATTCCGCCGGAGTAGGTCTGCTTCTGTGTACACAGTTGCGTTCTTGTTTTTGGCAACAGCATTCGCTACCTTAAGATTAATCCAATAATCACAGCTGATTAAGCAGTACTCCCTTAAACTCAGCGAGGTACCAAAATGAAGTCTTTGCACTTTTGATCCCCTTTCCCCCATAACATAAAAAAGTCAATCACTTTCCATTCAAGTATTTACAGTCAAAGGTTTGCATTAGAAACACTTGACTACAGCAGGATGTTGGGTTTGATAAAAAGGTAACCAAATTCAACCTGATCCCAACAACACTATTGCAGAGTGAGTAGCTATTCAACACCTGACTACAAAATAAACCAACTCAATTACTTCAAAGCCTTTGGCAACCTAAAACATTAGAAACTAGCAACATCAAATAAAGTTGGGTTTTGGTGGCTCCCCCCACCCTCCCAAAAAAGTGTTACCCACATGAACTTTTTAAACATTAAGCTCTTTTTAAAGCAGTGAAGAAGATTCCAAAAAACAGGGTTCTCGCCACTTGAATTCAGC